CCATGTCTGGTGAGATACTGTCTTAGCATAAAAAAGAAAAGGGGCTGGGGATGTGACTCAGTGATAGAGCCCCTCTGGGTTCAGTCCCCAATACCAGGGGGAAAAAATATGAAATGCTACCAGTTAGAACAGGAATGATAAAATAATAAAGAAATAAATGATAAAATAATAAAGGAATGATAAAAGACAGATTTCTTCTCAATAAGACTAGAAACTAGAAGTAGAAAAGTATCTTCAAAACTGCTAAGGGAAAATAATAGCTAATCTAGAATTCTATACCAAAAAGATTTTTATTCAAGATAAAAGGCAAAAAATAACCATTTTTGTTGTTCAAAGGCTAGATGAAACCTAGCCTTAATAATGTCACATACCATTATTAAGAGGATTACTAAAAATGTACTTCTATAGAAGGAAATTTAATCCAGAAGGAAGGAATACACAGGAAAAAAAAAAAGTGTGTGGGCACAGTGGCATATACCTATAATCTGAGCTATTCAGGAGACTGGGCAAGAAGATCTCATGTCCAAGGCCAGCTTCAGCAACTTAGCAAGACTTTGTCTCAAAAAAAATAAATAAATAAACTGGAGATGTAGTTAGTGTTCAGTGTTAGAGCACCCCTGGGTTCTGTTAGAGTCTGTAAACAAGTCAAGATGGCGCCTGGCATTTTGCAGAGGGAGTGATTTGTGACCACTGTGTAACGCCAGCGAGCCATTAAGTGTGGAGATTCCTTATTGGTTGACTGCTGTATCTAGTTTATGTTAATTAGATAAGCTGTGTGGAATGTATATATACCCCTCCTGTCCTATAATAAACGGCTCCCACTCCTGCTGTATCAATCTACACAAGTTGCTCGTCACCCCCCGGTTATTTTGCTGCAGCCGGACTGCGGCAGGTTCAATCCCTAACAGCACCCAAAATAATCCTTCCAAACCTGTTAGAGGAGGAGGGTATTTTAAAAAGTTATCAACCTGACAAGAACAAAGGGAAGCTGGTGTGTGGCTCATGTGTAGACTACTTGCCTAGCGTGAGTAAGGCCCTGAGTTGATCACCAACACTGCAAAAAAGAAACACAAATATTGAAAGCACAAAATAAGAGTGTGTGTGTGTGTGTGTGTGTGTGTGTGTGTGTGTGTGTGAAGGGGGAGAGTAAGTTCAGCTATACCTGTTTTTACAATAAACAAATTACTCTCACTCTCTAATATTTCATTTTATTTTCATTAGCCATGTGCCACCAATGAAATATAATTAAAATAATGCAAAGTTTAAAAAGATACCGTTAACTTGGGATGAGGGATGGGAAATCACCTTGGAAGTGGAAATAACTGAACATTTATGGAGTACTTCCTAAGTCTTAATTGAAGCCCACAAAGGAAACAAAGTAGCATCTAAGAGAACTTGTGCCACATGCCAGGGAAATACAGACCCATGAGGAGAACTTGGACTGTGTCATGTCATGAACATCCAAAAAAGAAAGGAAGATTCAAGAACAGATCTCCGGGATAAATAAAATGGTCAGTGGAAGGCTGGGCGCGGTGGTGCACATCTGTAATCCTAGCTTTGGGAGGCTGAGACAGGAGGCCACGAGTTCAAACCAGCCTCAGCAACTTAGCAACTCAGTGAGACCCTGTCTCTAAATAAAATACAAAATGGGGCTGGGGATGTGGCTCAGTGGCTGAGTGCCCCTGAGTGCAATCCCTGGTTAAACCCCGCCACCATCAAAAAAAAAAAAAAAAAAAAAAAGAAGAAGAAGAAGAAAAGAAAATGGTCAGTGGTATTTGTGCTGGAAATAATATTGAGAAGCTGCCTCTGGAGCAAGCTTTTATGAGGACGGATTGGGAAAGGTTTTGGACCTACTGATAAGAGACAGAGGAAGAAAATAGGAAGCAAGAAACAGAGAAAGCAAGAGTGGATTTCTCTCTCAAACGATTTCTCTCTTCTGAGAGAAGACAGAATAGAAGGTGATGAGAGAAGCAGCCTCTGAGGAAGTCATGTTGGAATGAGCAATAATCATATTTAACAATAAGACCTTAATGATAAGGAGCCCTCAGAGAAACGAGTTTCCCGGGTAACCAGCTTCTCTAGGTGACCTAATGCCTGCTTTTTAAAATACCAAAGCTAATTTTGACCATTTTTAAAATACCAAAAGTCACCAGCAGTAGCCATACCAGCATGGTCTCTCGCCTTCACTGTGGATGATGCTCTTTCGTGACTTGAACAAAGCCAGCCAGACGTCCTCAGCTAACCTTGTTTTGAACTCAGCGGTTTCTCCAGGACTGAGGGACCTGTGGAGGCCTTTTTGCCTCCAGACATAAGAGCTTCAGACAGCTGTGTCTGGAGTCCTCCTGTCTGCTTTCTTGACCTCTTTGAGTGTCTTTTATTGTCAGCCATATTTTTGTCACAGCTTGTCATAATTTTCTACATCTCGACGTAGGCTTATGAGCGGGGTTAAGGTGTGTTCGGCTCTGATGACTATTGACTCAGCCAGGTTTCTGGACAGCTGAGTTCCAGAGCCTGGTCAGTCACCAGGATAATAAACATCACCTTAGCATTGGCCTTTGCCTGCATGGTTGTATTTCACATAAACAGTTTAATATAAAACGGAGAGTACCCTGCGGTGAGCATCTGAGAGGCTCTTTTGAATGTAGTATAGGAGTTGCAGCATGTGGATTTTGAGACAGTTATGTGTTCAGTCAAAGGCCTCTTTGGATGTCTTTGTTTATTTCCTAATCTCAGAAGAACAGTTGGAGGATGAACTGGTTGTGTCTTCCCTCAAGTGTAAGTGAGAAATTTCTGCCTCAAAGCTAATACTTTTCTCAATACAGACAGAAAACAGTATCTTTCCCACCCAGCGACTCCTCATCCTCTAGGAGGAAGGGGATTCATTTTGTATTAGGCACCATATCCTCTCTTTAGTGATGCTACCCTCTGTCTGCTCCCTGGGCTGCACAAGAAGACTTGATTCTCACACACTCTATGACTTAGAACCTTCACAATCCTGGGATCATTTGCTACAGCCCTTGTTCTTAAAAACAGGTCTTTTTAACATGAGCATTTGTAAATTGATAAGGCGTTTTAACAGAAGGAATGGAGTATTGCTTAATGGAAGGAATTCTCTAGTTCAGAGTTCAGAAGACTCAACTGAGACACTCCGTGTGGGGAAAGGTCACTGGCAATATCAGGGTGGTCCCTTATAAAAGTCCATGGCTGGCTTCCAACAGCCTTAGAGGGACATGGTTAGTTTCTTGGTGATTTACCAGACTCTGGCTCTTAGCTTTTCAGGTCCAGAACCTGATTTAATCAAGATACAAGGAACAGATTCATTATCAGTTGGGCTTACTTTAACTAAGCTCCCAAAATTGATTCCTAAACCAAAATGCGAGCCCAACACAGCAGCACACACCTGTAATCCAAGTGACTCGTGAGGCTGAGGGAAAAGATTACAAGTCCTGGACAGCTTAGTGTGACCCTGTGTGCTAAGTCATAACCAATGTGCTAAATTCAATATAAAAAATTAAAAGGGGTAGGGATGAAAAAAAATTTAAAGCCAGTTAGCACTATACAGAGATGTGTAACTGACTTATATTCTTAGACTACAAATGGCTAGCTTATTCTTCCCCTGTGGGCAAGCCTACACAGTGAGGCAGACTATAATCAGAAGGTTATTTGTCAAATGTGAAATCAGAATACAGGTGAGTCACGTTTACGGACATAAGCTAGAGAGTAATCCATCCCACACCAATTAGGGACCTGCCACTGGAACTTAATTTTTTCAAAGTTTGTCAACTGAGATTCTCTCTACCCTGATCAGAATTTTGTAGAGACAACTGCCAGTATTTTGTCTCATTTTTTTATGTTTCCAGGCTAACAGTGCCCACACCTACCAAATCACCTTCTGTGTTAGACTTTGTCTACATGTTAATGCTTTGCATCTGGTTATCAGGTCATCCTCTCTCTTTCTTTTTCTTTCTTCATTTTATAGTTTAAATCACAATGAAGCAATCTTATTTTCAAATTCTTGAGGGATCCCTCTCTGTTCTTACATTGATCTAGAAACTATGACATTAGTAAGGATGAGTGGGGCAGTTCGCCCACCAAGGCTTATCTGTCATTCACCTAAAATAAATTTTAAAAAGAGTTTGACTTTTTTGCTATGACACATGTTCTATTATTAATACGTTTCTTTAAATCAATTCAATTTTTAAAACTTTTTTATGTTACTTTATTTATTTATTCATTTGTTTTGGTACCAGGAATTGAACCCAGGGGCACTTAACCACTGAGGTACATCCCCAGACCCTTTTATTTTTATTTTTATTTTTTTTATTTTGAGACAGGGTCTCACTGAATTGCTTAGGTCTTCACTAAATTTATGAGGCTGGCCTCGAACTTGCAATCTTCCTACCTCAGCCTCCTGAGTCACTGAAATTACAGGCATGCACCACCATGCCCAGCTAAAAATTTTATTTTAAAAGGAGATTTACCCCTACCATAAGTGGAAAATGGCTATCCTTTGTCACAAAAGGAATATAGCCCTAAAAATAAATACATTGAAAACAGAAGTTCTTGTTTTCCCCACTTAACCTCTTTAACTAGATGCTGTTTGCCATGGAAAGCTCTGAGATTTAAGATACACTAGCAACAGACTGAGACTCTCCTCAATGTAATAAGCAACACCAAAATAGAAGCTGGGGCCATAACTCAGTGGTAGGCCCTGAGTTCAGTCCTCAGCACCAGAAATAAAAATAAGATAATCAAGCAGTAGAGTAATTTAGGAGATATAGTTAATGCCTTACCCATTCACCACCTAAAAAATAATCTCACATCAGGTATCCCACATTGGGGAAAAAGATGACCTCAGCTTTCTCTGAATTTAAAGGTGTTTGAAAACTGTTCAACTATAGTGGTGCGTCCTCGGCAGCCTCGCCTCTTGCCTGACCCAGCTGCCCTGGCTTCTACCTGATGCTGTTCTGACTGTCCTATTCCTGCCTCTCCCTGCACAGGTACACACTGGCAGCTCAGGACCTGGTGATGCGTGCCCGGGGTGTCCTGAAGGACAGAGGATGGCGAATATCGAACGACCGACTGGGCTCAGGAGATGACATTTCTGTATATGTCATTCCTTTAATACATGGAAATAAACTGTCATGAAAATGACCCAGGGGATTGGGAGGACAGAGGGGAAGAAAACTGGGATGCCTCTGAGCAGGGCGGAACCCGGAAGTGCCCCAGCTGAGTTCCAGGTGATGCAATCTCTTCCCAGCCCAGGTGGGGAGTTCTTTGCCAAGAGGCCTCTGGCTGCGCTTCAAAATGACCCTTAGGTTTCCATTTCCTTAGTAACAGGTCTGGACTCAACAAGAGCCGGGAAAACAAAGCCTCCTACTGAGTGTCATATTTTGGTTGGTTTTTAAAATAGGCCTCCTAGGTGGCTCTTGCCTATTTGGGGCACATACATCCTATTTATTTGATCTAGAGTAGCGAGGGCAGAGCCATGTTCAGATGTAACTGGCAGAAGACTCCGCAGCCTTCTTCTCTACGGGTTAGAAGTGCCAACTTCTCTATGGGTTAGAAGTGCCGCATTGGAAAGTTGGGGATCACACCTCAGAAAATGAAATCATCCACCTTTAGAAAGCTCAAGATGAATTTCAGGGATTCTGCCTTCCTCTTTCTCTCTCTCTCTCTCTCCTTCCCTACCTCTCCCCCCTCTTTTTCTTTCTTCTCTTTATTCTTTTGTGGTATTGGTGGGGTGAGGCAGGGATTTTTTTTTTTTCTTTTCTTTTTGACATTCCTTAAATCTTGTTTGTTTCCCTTCAGTAGAACAGGACGGGGACTTTCCAACTCCTTTCCTGAGGAATTTTTGTGTCAAAGTCCAGCCTAGGCTGGGTTGTCCCCATATCCCACGGCCCCCACCACCCAGGTAGCCATCTGGAACGATGCCCTGCATGACCGACTGTGTCTCTGTTGCATAACAAGTCGTGCTTTCTCACCAAATCAGTGTTTTCTTGAAAATGTGGGTGTTCCGTTGGACCAACAGTTCCTCTGTTATCTTCAGCGTCCCTCTTTGTGTGGCTGCAAGAGTCTGGATTTTCATCCTGGAATGTTTGGCCCTCTTCCACCTGCAGTGTTTAGAAAGTTTGGAGCAGTTTAGAGAGCTCTTAATATCATTCAGTTCACCGTACCTCACTTGAGGACAGCTTTGGGTCCAGGTTTCATGAGCTGTGACTGTCCTCCAGCTCCCTCCAGATTAAATATCAGTTCTGTAGAGCAGCAGTTGTGTTTCTGCTGTTTGGTGCAGAATCCACTCAGGATTGTACTTTTAATCAAAGTGAATTCAGATCAGGTAGGCTAGTCTCCCTCATGCTGACCTCCCAGTCTCTTCTCCAGAGCATCATGTCGTAGCTACCTAAGAACCGGGACCCCTCTGCCCACTGTGGATCCACCTCTGTGCACACCTCACAAGCACAGCAGCAGCACACACTGGACCCCCTGAACACCTGCTACTTCTCTGCCAGGAGGAATGGCAAAGTCGATTTAAAAAAAAAAAAAAATCACTCCCATCTCCCTGGAAGGATGACATCTAATTACCTAGTCCTCTTCCCAAACCAAAATGGTGTTGTCACCATTTTGACAACTTCATGTAATTCAAACACTCTTCCAGCCCAATAAAGAAGGTCATGGGGTAACTTCCCCAAACTGCTGGAGAGCCAGTTCCAGTTGCCATGTTTATCTGAATTCCTTCCCCAGAGGAGAGGAGAAAATCCTTTCCTCCGGGGGAGTGAATCACCTACATTCCTGGAGTTGTCGGTATTTTCTTAGGAAAGGCCTGGAGTCTTGCTACTCAGGAATAAATTTGTTCCATAGTGTAGAATCCATGCCCTGTCTGGCAGGTGAAGCACTGTGGCAGATATAGACACCTCCGGATGTCTGCCACCCTGTTGCCTGAGGCGAGCTGGGCACAGCATTATTGGGAGCCATCTCCATCTGATCGTGTGTTTCCTCTGCCTTCAGTAAATCTGAGCAACACTGAACATCTCTGTGGGGAGATGTTGGTGGTTAGCCACTCGCTTCACTGGAACAATATGATGCTATGGGGAAACTTTCTGTCCTCCCATGGCAGAGTAGTCCCCTTTCTGCTCCTGCCCCAACTCTCAAAGTTATATACAAAATAGAAACTTGAGAAAGTCCTGCATGGAGGACCCTGAGCCACCTCCTTTGGAATCTTTCCTGTGTTCCTGTTGTCTTTTTTTTTTTTTTTTTAACTTTCTTATTTCCTTTTCTGGACCTCTCTCTGGGCCCTACCTTGAGCTTCTCTAGTCTTAAGCCACTGGAGTCAGAATTTGGGTGTAGATATCATGACAACTTTCCATTCAATTCACTAATTCATTTACTGCCAAGGCCAGTCTCAGGAAAAACTCTGGAAATCCCCACATTCAAATTATCCTAAAATCTTGAGCATTTAGTCCTGCTGGTTTTGGTTAGAAAGGTATCCAGGAATTCTTCCCATTAAGTCTCTTTAGAAAGATCTTAGTAGCAAGCTAAAGCCGTGTTTGTGTTTGGGGGATAGGTGGAAGACTACAAATGAGGTGAATAAATCAAAAGTGGAAACAGTGATTTGTTAATGCCCATGGCAGATCTACCCAGCACTGATATTGCTGTGTGAATTGAGCTGACTCCATTTTTGGCCTTATTTTCCACCCAGGCCCCAAGTCACCCTGTCCCAGAACAGTAACTGTGTCTACATAATGGGTTGGATCTTGGAGCATTCCTGGAAAGGTCAAAAGACAACATAGAATTCTGCAGAACATGTTTATATGTGGTTCTGAAATCTTGTGTATCTGACTTAAAGCCAAATCTGCTTGCCCTAATAGCCTCAGAGGAAGTCTGGTATAATGAAAAGCATTTGATTTCCTAGTCAAGTCTTAATGGTTGTCTTGGGGGTTGTGTGGCTACTTCCTTTAATGAAAGTCTCTTTCCACTCTAAATCTCTTTGCTGGGCTGGCCCCTGCTCTTTGGACTGTTTGAGACACCCTTTCTTAAAAAGTGTGAACTCACAGTCCATCTGTCTTCTTCAGTGCTTTGCCAGACAGCTACCAAAGCGTGAACTTTGTGACCCACGAAGCCAGAGCAGGGTTAGCAGTCGGAGAGGTGGAGGGTGATCCAACCGTGGTTCTGCGTTCCTATTCTTGAAGTGGGGTGGGAGAGGAGAAAATCTGGCTAGGCCAAGTACTCAGCTGTCTAATAGGTCAAAACCTAAGTGGGACTTCTGGTATTTTCTGTAGTGTTCAGCTTTGGAGAATTTGGAGTGTTTCATTTTTTAAATTCCTAGCAACTTGCCTCCATGGGACTGAGTGAAGTCAGTGTGTCCACACTTACTCTTGTCTGTAAGTATTCATATACTCCTTGGGAGGAATTTGAAACGTGGGTAGATATTGGTGGGCAAGAATGAAAATCCAGGGGACCAGATTCAGCCCCAGATCTTGGCCATCTGAGCAGGGTTTTCAGTTTACCAAGAGCACTAGTATGGAAACATCTGGGAAAAGATTCCCACGTCTTTAAAATTCTTATTTTCCTCTTGTTATCCTTTTCCTCACCTCTTCCCTCACCTGCCAGTCAGCTATATTTATAAGGCCACAAGTGGTTAGTGGTTTTGTTTACACCAGTTTGAGGGTGTAACCATTCCTTAAAGTGATGCAGCAGTCCCACAGTTTTCAGAGGGAATATGTTAAGCTTGGTGAGATTCTAATTTCAGTAAGTTAATGCTTCTGGAACAGTTGGCAAAAGTAAGGAGATTCATCGCCTATGCAAAGCACAACCATCCCGACCTTAAAAGATACTAGATCTAAGCGGGGCGTGGTGGTGCATGCCTGTAATCCCAGCAGCTCTGGAGGCTAAGACAGGAGAATCTCGAGTTCAAAGCCAGCCTCAGCAATGGTGAGGCATGAAGCAACTCAGTGAGACCCTGACTCTCAATAAAATACAATGGTTGGGTACCCCTGAGTTCCATCCCTGGTACAAAAAAAAAAAAAAAAAAAAATACCGGATCTAAGAGAATAGTAAAAGTCTCTGGCTCCAGGAGAGAATTTTGTGTTAAGAACTCAGATTTTTGAGGACTCCCAAGTGCAGAGAAGTATAGCCTGCACACCTCACCCACCTCTCTGGCAAGCTTTGGTTCTGTGTGGTGACATGGCTTATATGTGTACACTGGGATTTTCAAAGGACACTACATGAGCAGCTCAACTTGCCTCTTGGGTAAGCACCATGGCTGTTTGTCAGACTTGAGTGCCAGTCCAGGGAGCGCTGCTCTTTCTGATCCACAATGTTATCTGTGTAAATAGCTTTAATTTTTCCTCTGCGTCTTAGATGAAGTTTTGTTCATGTAGCGACCAGGTAGATGTGACCAAGTAAGGCTGTGAAAGTGCTGTTGTTTTCTCCTGTGATGTACTTGAAGAAGAGGAACCTTGTGTCCTCCACTCTTCCCATCTCCTATGAGTATTTTGTGTTTGTTTTGAGGAGTCCTGAGGTTACTCTTTCACTTTGATTTTGCCTCCAGTTTTTTTTGTTTGTTTGTTTCTCTGGAGACCCAGGGAGGCCCTGGTGAGGATCATCTATCAGGAAATGTGTCATGGGTTGGGTTTCCAAAACTATCCTACGTACAGTGAATTGAGAGGAATCTGCCTGAAAATGGTTTCAGAACCATGTACCTTTATGCTTTGTGATTGTGAAACATTGACTTTTGTAACCCAAAAATGAAAACTGTTTAGCAAAGGGGATCTATTTTGTGTGTTTTGAAACTTAGGTGCAATGTCCCCTGGAAGAAGCTAAAGAAATGTATATGCTCAATGACATTTTAAAATAAAATATTATATATATATATATGTATATAGGACATCTTTAGCAAAACTTTTTGTGTCTTGTCTTTGAATTCACTATGAAATTTCTTCATATTGGGTAATGGAGTGACATTAAATTAATGGGTCAATGTGAGATTATCAACTGTGAGCACACAGTCAAAACCAAAAGGGGAGGGCTGCTAACACCAAGCCTTCACAGCAGCGAGGCCTAGTGCATTTCCACTAGGCCTCTGGGGGAACTACCATGGATAGGCATGTAAATAAACACAAAGAATTCAGAAGAAAAATTACTCCCAAGAGGTAATCTTAAGCAAGAGGGCTAGTACTTAATGTTGCTAAAGACAGTAAGATTCAAGACAACCCTTAATCACATAAGCATTTTAAACACCAAGTGTTAGTAAAATGTACCATCTTATACAGAAAAGGCACCTTAACAGGTGGAGTAAAGCATCCAAGAATGCTAATTCTGCTTAGTTCTAGAATTCAGGAAGTTAAAGACAATCTAGAAAATATCAACAAATTGTTAAAATATGATCAAAGTACTATCATCCCCCCATATCCATGGGAGCTACTTTCTAGAACGCCTAGTGGATGTACTTACCCCTATACATATTATATATTTTTTCTTTACATACATACTTATGATAAAGTTTAAATAAATTTATAAACTAGGAACAATAAGAAATCACAAAACTAATAAAACAGAACAATTTTTTGTAACAATAAATGAAAGTTATGTATTATTTATTCCTGAAATTTTCCATTTCATATTTTTAGGTCACTGTTAACAGGAGAAAATAATGGAAGGCAGGGGCTGTAGCTCAGTGG